GGCGGAGAGCGCTGGATAAGCTGTGTCTATTCAACTCATAATGAAGCTTCGAAAAGCATAGACCATTTAGGGGGCAATGCTGAGATTCGGGCCCCTTGTTGACCAAACAAAGGCAACCCTTGATGGAGATGTCAAGGGTTCCTTTTGACATGCAAAGGGCGAGCAATGCCACAAGAGAAGCGCAGCAGCACAAAGAAGAGAACCCGCCGGCTGCCAGCATTTGGCAGTCCGTCTGAAAAGAGCTGAACGCTATTGACGTCGCCAATACCCAGACACAAATGCGCACTCACAAACGAGAGGTTCGAGAGGTGCGCTTGGAACCGTAGCAGCTAGATACTTATCACATCCATGAGAAGCGGCGGGGGCTTGGCGCTCAAGGTCCTGACCCGGAGCTGAGCAGCGGGAAAAACCGGCGCATTAAATTTGGAAACCAAAGACTGTGTTGCTCAAGCAAGCGTCCCTGTGCCAGATTATGTAAGGAGAAAAGGCGCATGCAGCTACGCGTTTGCAGTCAATCAATGCCAATGCAAGCCAGTAAATGAAGTGGATTGAACGCCACATTGCTGCACACACTGTCACCATCAGCAGAGCAACATCCGCATTGACATGTAAAATAGTTGGCAAGAAGCCCTGAAACCCCACTCTGATGCCCATGTTTGAGATTAAGGTATGCAAGTGTGACAGAAGAACAACTAAAACAACCATGATCGATCAATAGTTGTCCATAGGGCATGCTGAATCCTCCATGAACGCCCTACCGGCAGCTAGCACATGGAGGCACATTTTCTCGGCGGTATATGCAACAGCGCTCACCAAACAATTCACTCACAGGTCGGCAAGCGGGGAGGCGAGCATGGTCCGGCCATCCCCCTGAACGTGGAGTCCCAGAAGCTCATGCCTGGTTAAATTAAACAAGATTGAAAAGCATCGCAAGTACACCTCTCTGCCATCCATTTGTCATAATAAAGTTTGAAGCCGTGCAACCGGGTCTTTTGGTGCGCGATAGGAAGCATTCGCTAGCCCTGCTCAATTCACCTCTTGCAGACCTGGTCTAGAAGCTTGCTGGACCGTTGGTCTTGTGCCAGCAGGAGACGGGAGCAAGATGGGAATGGCAGTTTGCAGCGTAAGTTGATCGAAAACATGCCTTTTGCATCTCAGCTTTAGCCATTTAGTTTTAAGAAACTGCCTCTTCAATGGTCACAGAGCCGCAGGCAATGGGCTGTCACTTTCAGTTGTTGGCTGGACTGAAACTAGCCAATGGGTCATCTCAGCTGCACTGAGATTCCCGGAATGCACGGCATG